AAATTCTTCTAATTTAACGCTCTGTTCAAATAGTAATTCTGAATACCCAACTAGTGGTATTCACTGCCATCAGATGATATCCGAAGTGGGATTTATTTAGTGTGTTGTTTTGTGGAAGTTTATACGTGAACAATCAGGAAGACCATCAAGCCGCCTATCTAGAAAACTTCTGAGCTACAGTACGAAGAGTCATGTGAAAAAATTAACTTCTCTGCGAAAAAGCTCCTATTTGTTTCACAGTGCAACGGTTTGCATCTCTGAACAGGAGGTTTCGAATCACTTGAACCTCCTTTCCAGTAATTGCCTTCTACCGCCTAACTTGTAAAAAACGATAAACGAATACGTTTCATATTGTAAAACTTGAATATCAATGAAAATGGAGGTATATAACCAGAGAGTCGAACTTGCCAGCCCCTTTGAGCTCCTTTCACGAGCTTTTGCGAGGTCAAAATATGATATATTACATAAACGCCTTTCTTTCACGAATTAAATTGATCATTCGGATTATCATACTTTGTCTTTATTATGATAGGAAGACCTATTTCTGGCATTGATCGAGAGAAGGCTGGCAAAAGGTAACTTATCTACATAAAAAACAAGCTCTATGGTGTTTTCCATTTTAATTTCATAGGTATTTTATTGAAAGCTTTTTTATCATTATATGAAACAACTAATTAGCAAGCAATCTTTCTATCTGCCTGATAACTCTAAAAGTGCCTATTCCTTTGTAAGTTGGTTCTATATTTGATACGTACCGAACCAACGAATTCTTTTCAGTTATGGAACTCCTGGTTAAATTGGATCAAAATCCTACACGCGATCAAGGAACTAAGCAGTCCTAGATAGCTATTCCGATAGACTAGCAAGAATAAAAGCAATCATACTGAAGTCGAATCATCCGAAGGCTATCTGAAAATTTCATAGCTCTACGAGATCTTATTTGCGTTTGTGAAAGGTGCAATTTTTATCAGAGCATAATGACTGCTGAATTTCAAGCAGAAAAGAACCATGATACAAGTCACCTAGTATAAAATTGCTTTCATTCTGTCGAAAGAAGTTCAATAACAAATACATCGGCTAAAAACTCAATGCTTCGATATGAATAAAGAGAGAGACGTAAAAGATACTAGAAAAAAGTGGACGAAAATGGTCTATGTCATGATTTAGTGATGTCGAGTCACGTTGTTTTCTTAGATCTATGTGTCCGTTATCATTGGAGAGCATTATCTCAAGTGTGGACTCTGACTGTCTTACGTTGTTGAAAATACAGAACAGAAGAAAATTATCTGAAGGGTGACACAAAGAATAAGATATATTGCTGCTCCTTACAAGTTGCGGGCTGCATAAGAAAAAAATGGACTTTTGCCTCCAGTAATTTTACTCTTACGAAGCGACTGCAAAGAGTTGAAACTATCAGCGTAGTTATAATCTGGTGATCGTTATCTCTAGATGTTCACCTACACTAATATCTACCCAAATCCAGCATTCTACTTAAAATGCTACTTCAATGATCATTCGTAATTTGGGATGTGATAGGGGTTGCCAAATGAAAGTAAAAAAATCAGATTTTTTTCTTCCAAACTGGCAACTAATCGAAAAAGGCAACCTCTTGTAAACCAAGGGCTAATGTGTTGACATACTTGTACAAAACGCTTCACTTTTTTTCGTTTATCGACTCATACTTTATTTCCAAAGGTATTTCATAGTGAAGAAAGATAATACGAACACTTTATAGCTAAGAGTAAAAGATCATGTACTGCAAGCGAAGGAGATTGGTCATAGTCAGATCAAATGAATGCTCTCACTGCCAAACCAACTAATTAAAAATATGAGTTGACAATAGCATACACGGAACGAGATATTCGAGTTTCAAGGTATTTACTGTTTTTTGTGTGTCCACATTACAAAATTTCATCAATGCTTAGTTTTCTTTTTTTTTGGTAATGATTGGATGAAACACGACCATTTACATCAGGAAAAAAAATATCACACACATTAAAAACCAATTCTATGAAGTCTAAGACAGAATATTTGTTAATTATAAGGGTAATAGACAACAAATTCTAATTGTCGTAAGATTTCTTTTGAATATGTGCGATATTCTTTTTTATGCAAATGTTCGTGCTCCATCCAATCATCACGAAAAACGAAAACTAAGCATTGATAAAATTTTGTAATATGGGCACACAAAAAAACTGTAAATACCTTGAAACTCGAATATCTCGTGCTGTGTATGCTATTGTCAACTCATGTTTTTAATTAGTTGGCTTGGCAGTGAGAGCATTCATTTGATCTGACTATGACCAATCTCCATAATTTGCAGTATATAGATTTCCATTGTTGGTGAATACAAAAAAAGCTAACAAAAGGCACCTAGTGTCAGATTCTCGTACAAAACCCAAAACTTTGTTAACGAAAAATATGCGCAAACAAATCATATCTATAGACTATGCAGATCAAGAATAGAACTGGCATATTTCCATTACTGCTACTAGTGAGTGGTAACTACTTACCATTTACTGCTCACGTGGTAAGTGCTACTACTTAGTATTAGTCAGGAAATGAGTAGATGATACACGCAGGTAAATGGTAAGCGCTTTACGTTTGCCTGAAGGAACGCTACATAGTTGTCATTATTGATGATTGCCACAGACATTTTCTTGTCTATTTTTTAATCACAAGCGGCCTATCGATACACTTGACCCTAGACTGACGGCATCGTACTAAATTAATAAACAAATCAAAATATACGTGTACTCTAAGGAAGGAAACAGAAAATGGAAGAGATTGCTTGAAATATCACGGTGAGACCTGTGGGAAAGCTAGTTTTTCAACAATGTAAAATGATCGTTTGTGCCACAGAAGTGGCCATTTGTGCAAATAGAAATGGTCATTTGTGCCATAAGAATGGTTATTTGCGCAAAAAAATGGTCATTTGTGTCAAGCCCTTGTTACAGATAGACACAGGTGAATTACGGTTTCTAGACCCTAGTCTTTCAGTCTAGGGAATATCTATTTTCATTACGATTCATCTTTATTGATGCATTCAGTTTAATATGAAGCTATTCGCATATCGTAATTGAATCAATTTAGAATATATGTTAAAAAACAACTCATATTTCGTTTCGGTTTAGACTTTTATTATTACTTTGTATAATTGAGAGCACATAAAAGGCTGATATTCCCTCCAATACAAATAGTTTCAATTTTAAAAATACGATTCAGTACAATGAAAAGATTTTATGATTGTGTTTGCTTTTGCCCTGTTGTAAAATAATTAAACATATATGGCACGTTAAAAATTTGACTAAATACATGTGTAGCAGAATAGTTAAGTAAAATATATTCAATACCTAGATAATTATGAATGCTAAATGATTGAAGCTCAGAAGAAAAACAAAAACATATTATCTAAGTTACAGTTTTATAACTCCAAGCTTATCACGGCTATCAGCTTTATTACAGCTTTATGCAGAGATTTTAATCAAAAATTTGTTGAAAATATTTTATAATGGTAAAAGACGCCGGCTTCAGGAATTTAACAATCAAACATATTATGCAACATTGGAAAAATTATTTGGATATATAAATGAATCAATAAGAGATGCTGAAGTATTTTTACAAGTTTTATTTCGACGGGAAGAAAAAATTGATTGTGATCAACATAGTGAATGTCTATCGAATCGAATCTAAGAAATGCACAATGGATAGAAAAATATCGAACTGAAGCTTATTCAGTTGTAATCAGTAATTTTGTACAACACATTATTCAACAAATCAAAGAATGAAAAGAAACAGTGATCAATGTTAATTTAGGTTTTGGCAATCGTGATAAAATCGAAGATGCTTATAAATTAAGCGAATAAAACTTTGGATGCTAATAAAGCTGAAAAAAACAATCAATTATTTAGATAGTTGTAAAAACAAAATACCTGTTTTAGTCAAAAATGATCATATGTCTCTACTTGAAAATGATTATTAGAAATTCAATAAAATGCGAATGAGAAGTGAAATATTGTGCATACTTCGAAATTATCTCCTCAAACATACGTGAAGATTGTGACAAACAAGGGTCCACCTTTTCTATAATAAACAGTTCAACTCATTGGTATCTTGAATACGCATCAGAAGTATGCATTGCGCGTGCCGATCGTCTGCGCCATAGTTTTAAATATGATTATTTTCTAGCGGCTGTGTCACCGAAAAGCATTTTTGGTGCAGATGTCTACTCTTCATCCATATCCTTAATAGAGTAATTCCGTCTAAGATACCATCAGTTGTATTACCTTGATTGGTAAGTTCATTAATTAAATTTACATATAAAATAGTAACCAATGTTCATTAAAACCTCTCTGGTTATTATGTCGATCTATGTCTCAATTTAGTAAATTTCATAGAAACGAGTATAATGTATACGCTGATTTTTAAGTTGAATTTACACAAATTCAACTGTAAAATAAATTAACTCAAAAACCAGTTTTATACCAGTATGTATATGACTGCTTCAACTTATTAAATTAAATATCCTTTCATGGCTCTTACAATTTAAAGTTGTCATTCATACGTCAGTACTGATAAGTGGGCATATATTTTTCAAGGAATATTCTAGTGCAAACAATTCAAAAAAAAATGGCAAAAATAACACATGCAGTGTTTAAAATATACTCTTGCAAGACACATTTTTCAATAAATTTCATGAAGTTTATTAAAAGGACGGGAAATACACTTATGATATGATATTATTCCGAATACTAGTGACATCTAGATACTGACACATATCATTCTTTTAATTGGATTGTTGTACATCGTACAGAATATCTCCCCTTGTCGGTTATGTTATTTAATGGAATTTAATTCGGTATTATCGATTCTTTGATGGAGAATTATACATCTTGTTCACTAAATCCTTATATTTCTATATCTTACAACATCATGTGTGTTTTGTAGAAATATTTTTTGTGTAATTTAGAGTTTGTTTTTTTTTGTTTGTTCTATTATAGATGCATTGTTCATTTTGTATTCTCTTGGTGTCAACCATTAGTCTTATTTCATGTAGCCATTCCGATCCAGGTCACCTTAAACCATTTGGTACTGCTGGATCATTAATAAATATTGAAGAAATAAATGGAGAATATCCAAATATATTAAAACTTTTTACAAGTTATATACCAAAATTAGAACCAATAGTTTCTCGTCAAGTATTAAATAATGATATTCATTATAATATATGGGAAACAGATGAACAACTTGAAAATGAAGTTGATGGTTTATCAAAAACAAATATTATTGTGGAATCATTAAAACAACGACAACGAATTCAAGTGAAATTTGGAGATTTTCTTGATAAATACGAAAAAGAACATTTATTTTTTGCTGATAGCGTGCCTGAAATTCTTCGGTAAGATAACAATTGAATTTTATTCCATTAAAACTTTTCTTTAAAAAATGTTTTACTTAGAGTTTCAATATTTTATCTCACGTGAAGGATATGTCTTTTCCGAACACTAGAATAAACTTTCTCTTTGACATTATACTTTTTCCTTCAAATAATTCCATAGGATCACCATTGTTCATATTTAAAAGAAAATTAATAAATTACTGATTTTTTATGAGACTTCAAGGCGATGAGTACGGAATCTATATACCTTCTAAACGATCGTTTATTTCCGTAAGCCTCAACAAAGTAATACGATTTTAGACGGAGAAACACTGTGAGACCGTGCACCTGTTTGATATGAAAACTTGATCTTTGAAATAAAATCTAAATAATCAATTTCATATTGAAAAAATCGCAAAGGTGAATTTGTCAAAGTTTCTCACTTACTAATCTTTTTGTTTTATATAATATGTTTTATTTGTTCCATTTTTGCATTATGTTTACAGATGACAGTTTTTGTGAAATTTATATTTGTTTCGAATAAAATTAGTGAGTGTAAACTTTAAGTCAAGGTGTTCTTATAGTAAAAATAGTGATTGAGGTTGGTTCCGAATTTGAGACCCACCCAATAGGTCATACTCGACAAGTAACAGCTAATTATGACTTGATTTTTATAAAATCGTTGTCAAGATTGTCTGAGAAAAGTGTCGAGTTCGTTGGTCCTAATGCACATTTAAAAAAAAAGGTGACTGATAATTTTTTTAATAGCTTTTGATAGAAATTTTGTTATTCAGGAGTCATAGATATTCTAGTCAGAATTCTTGACCGATTTCTCTAGCCATTGCTGTAAAAAAAAACAATCACATTTTTTCTTATGTTACAAGAGACCATTTCTCGAATACTTTTTTTTATAAATTTGATTAAAAAAGCGACTTAACGACTCAGACTAAAACGTTTTGTTGAAATTAGAAGTACGGTTCGGCTCCGGGTCCAAAATTTTTGATCCGACGGGCTCTAATTAGATCCCATTTCTGTCGTTCAATAGCAACGCTTAAACTCTTCTAGAGTATATTCTTGAATCTCCCATAAAAGCTCAGATATATCAATTCACTTTAGTTGTCATATGATCGACACAAATAAAGACTAAATTAAATAACTTCTAACTTTCGAGAATAAGCAATTGAGATTTATAATCATGCTCTACGGTCTTCTGTAGAATTAAAAAACTTGCACACCGTTTTTGTACAGATGTCATCTTCTATACATTTTCTCTTTGAATTGTTTTATAGTGTGATGAATAATCCATGAAGAGTACTATAGCACTTCATAATTTGATATTCCCTTTTTTGACAAGAATCTTTTTTCTTAGGACATAGTAACATTTGTTTTCAATTTCTTTTCTTAGCATTATATTTTACGACTGACTGAACGCCCCTGTGGAATTGAAACCCAAGACATTAGCTGAGTACTTAGTTATTTATAGTGCATTGATATTAACGAACTGTTGATTGACATGACTGATATGTTACCAACCATAATTTCATTAGGCGTGCCTCTTTTTATGAAGTTTTTCTAAGACGATATAGCTCTTTTTACCGCTTACATCTAACTGCAAAAACCTACACGATTGTCAAGCATTCAAACATAATAAAAGTTAATTAAAACTGCATCTTCAGGTATAATAGAAAAGGAGTGTTTTTTTGCAATATGCTCCCATTAATAAACTTTTCTAGTTTACAAGGGCATAATTAAATTCTATATTTCAACGTTTTGATCAACAACAATTTATTTTTATCTATTGTTATCTTCATAGATAGTCCTTAGTAGGATACTTCTTGTATGATGAGTAACGTAGCGAGATCTTACGGCTGTATTTCAATATATTTAAAATTGATATATGATAAACTTTTCGAAAGAGAGAAGAAGACAAAATAATCATATAAATATATATTAAAAATAAGAAAAGCCACAGTTCTCTATGCTCGTTATATATTATAAATAGTGAAGAGTCAGTCCTAAAAAATAACACTTATAAATTCTTCGAGCTTTAGAAAAAATATCTTAATATAAACAAAATTTTTGTTCAATTGTTTTTGAAAACAGCTGTATAACAAACTTATCTCTCAATTAAATCGATGACAGGATGAATCAAAAATGATAGTTATTCAGAAAAACAATTTCTATTCAAAATATTGGAATTAATAAACAGATCATTACTTTGATGATCGATCATCCTTGGACGACATATGATTTTCATATTTTAGTCTATTCAGTTTTGCATTAATAATTTTTTTCAGCTGAATTAACGGCATGTGTTAATCAGGTATATGAATAAATGCAGATTGTTAATACATTTAGTACATTGTAGCTTGTGGGCAAATGTCACTCGAGCATATCAAATAGAAAAGATAAATCAATCGGAAGAGGGCAACATATTAATATGAATTTTTTTCTAGTAAATATATTGTCGTTCCACAACCTTTACAATGTAATGAAGTTTTACCTACATTACAATCGGCAGTTCGTATTGATTTTAATTTTCTTTTCTTTCGAAACTAACGTTTAACTTTTTTTGTTGCTATATAGATTCTAGTTATAAATAGTATAAATGCATCACCATTAATGTTCAATCAAGAATATGATCTTATGCTTTGTCTTTTTCGTGGTAATAAACGTATGGTTCTTGTTAATGCTAATAAATATGCTGATGTTCGTCAAGTAAGTAAAACAAAATCTTCATTATTTATTGAAAATAATTTTTTTTTCGTTTTTCAAAGATTATTATTCCGGACAATAAACAACCTCGTAGACCACCTGTTAATCCAGAAAAGTAATTCTCATATTCTATTTATTTATGAATATACTCTATTTTGTAAAGCACGGCCTAAAAGAAACGTTAAAGTGTATAGGGGTACAAATTTTGACTCTCACTCCACAGACATGACAGACACCTTAGAAATGATACGTCACAGGCCAGTAAGCAATCCTTCCTCCATCCTCCCGTGACAAGTATACATATACAATCGCAGACCATGTATGAATAACATTGCATTAGAATATATGAACTACTTTCTTCTTGCATTTGTGAAGGATTCAGTAAAAGGATGGTAGAGCAATTTGTTCCAAGATAGACAGGATAAGGTAAGCTCCCAGTGATTAGAAACAACAAATATATCGCGTTTCATATTTTAATCGCGCAAGGATTGTCATAACAGCTTTATTATGTTTAAGAGTTGATTTTAATCAATATCCTGAATTAGAAAATGTTGATTATTATGTTACTAATTTAACTGCTGGTGATTGTTTATTCATTCCAAATGGATGGATTTTTCAAGAACGTTCCTTAGATAATACAATATCGATTATATATAATATTCATCATAAACAAGCATTAAATATTGATGTAGATGAAATCAAGAGTTGTTTAACAAAGAATACATTTGATTCTGCATTTACAATTGATCAAATTGATTGGTCAACAATGGAAAATGAACCACAAAATTTAAAGTAAATAAAGAAATAAATTACTGTTTCTATTAATATTTTCTGTATTTTAACTAATAGAGAAATCATCATGAATTTGATTAATTCAAAAACAAATAGTTTTGAAAAGTGGCAAGAAACATTTTCGAAAGTAATTTATGATTAACGAACATAATTTTCAATTCATATTATTTCTTTTTGTTCTTTTTTAGTATTTTTCATTCGATTTGGCTTCAGATCCTGAAACATCAGCTATTTTTGATGAAGTATATTCTTCGCTACAATAAAAAGAAATTAAATATATATATATTGTTTCTTTAGTTCTATGGTATTATTGATATAGATGGTAATGGTGAAATAACAACCACTGAAGTTGAACAAATTAATGGACAGGTAGCTACAAATTTTGAAAATATTTTTGTCGTTAAAATCATTATAAAAAAAAAACATTCTTTTTTAGCATCAACATCACATATCTGATATTCTCTATGAAATGATAAAATTGGTTCATGAGAAACAAAAAACCGATTCAGAAAAACCAGTTAATATAGAAGATGAAGATACACAAGAAACATTAGAAAATGAAGATATGGATGAACATTTACATTTACAAAATTTAAAAACTGATTTATAATTTTAATCTTTGTTTTAATTATTCACTTTAAAAAAACGTTTTTGTTTTTCAAAATTAATGAAAAGCATAAAATCTCAAATTGTTTTCTGTTGTGTTAAATATCTTATGTATTCATCAGTGATTTGTTTTCTTTTTTGGGCAATATAAAAACATATCTAGTCTTTCAACATCTGCTTCTTCTTCTCCTTCTTCTTCTTCTTCAGATATTTTGATCATGAGTGATCGATTTTTTAAAAATAATTATCCTGATTATAATGGTGAACAATATCTCGGCCCTGATAATCAAGTTCGTTATTATTATTTTTCTTTTGGAATATATAACAACTATTTATTTATTTAATTTTTGTTTAGTTAATTCCTCAATTAGGGTCAACTATCACTCAATGGATTGGAGATCATTTACGTATACTTGAACACAATCTCAATAGAACTGATCCTAGTGATGGATCAGTTTATACTGGTAGTGCAGGTAAAACAAAAAACCAAAAATTTCTTTATTCATTATTGACGTTATTTTTTAATATAAAACATTAGGTATCGCATTACTCTACATGCGTATTGCTCAACTTTTACCAGAGCAAGCCAGTAATTACATGTCCAAAGCAAAAGCATTAATTGATTCAACATTAAGACTACTTGATGGTAAAGAAAAACACAAGAATTTCAATTATTATTTAATTTTGACATATAAATTAAACTAGGACAAGTAATAACATTTTTATGTGGTGATTCAGGACCATTAGCAATAGCAGCAGTAGTTTATTACAAATTTGGTGATCAAAAAACATCAGATCAATGTATTCAAAAGTAAGTAAATGTATACAAAATAATTAAATGATTTCTTTTCAGAATTTTATCTATGAAGAAAAATGCATTGAGTCATTCAAATCCAGATGAACATCTATATGGTCGAGCTGGTTACCTTTATACATTAATGTTTCTTCGACGAGAAATTGGACATCATATTATTGATGCTCAACATATTACTGATGTAAATAAAATAAAATTGAATTTTTGAAATTCAACTGTTTACATTAAGATCTTTGAAACTATGATTAAATCAGGTGAAAAATATGCACGACAAAGAGGTGAAAGATCTCCATTAATGTATCAATGGCATGGTTCTGAATATCTGGGAGCAGCACATGGTGTTTGCGGAATAGTTTATCTTCTTCTCAAAGTAAAATTTTTCAAAGACAAATCGTTTTTGTTTTTCAATATACAAATATTTTATAGGTAGCACATCATGAATCATTTGCTCATCTTCGACCATATATTGATTCACACTTATTACCAACTGTTGAATTTCTTCAATCAAAATGTTTATCAAGTGGCAATTATATGTCATCTAGTGATAGTGCATCAGATAAACTTGTACAATGGTGTCATGGTGCACCTGGTTTTATTTATTTATTTAATCAAGCATATGAAGTAAGGATATCAGTTCATTCTAGACATAAGAGAGAACACGAAAGAAAATGTATTCTTTGAAAAATGTGATCAACGAAAAGAGTGGAACGAAAAAAAGAAAGTAAATGATCGAAATTGTGTAGCTGGCTACGATAGGTGACAGTGGAAATCGATGAAAGAAGAGAAAATTGATAATCAATATTGGAAATATATCACTGTCGTCTATCATAGCCATCTATATAATTTCGATCGTTTACTTACTTTTTTTTCGTTCCACTTTTTTCGTTGGTTACATTTTTCAACGAATACATTTTCTTTCGTGTTCTGTTATGTCTAAAGTGAATTAGTACCCGTTTCAGAATAGATAGAATAAAACAATCTTCATGTGGTTAGCAAGAGCAGCTACATCATGTTTAACATTTTAATCCCGCAGAGATTGCACTAATAATAGCTTTTTTCTTTAGTTAACCTCAGAATATAGAAAATTTAGACAACTATATAAAATTAGATCAGAGTTTAAGTTTATTCATAGCAGATTTATATTCTACACATAATTCTTAAGATGCTGCTATTACAAGAATTACAGAGCTCTGTGTGATTTCTAAATAAAGCCAATATTTGTAAATAAGCAGGATAATGACATTTGCTTTCATTCATACTCTATCAATATTTTAGTCAGCTTGAAGTTAAAATAAATCTGAGAAAAAAGAAACTGTCACGCGACACTAAATCTCATTCTGTAGCTAAAAATTTATTTTCGTATTGAACTTCAAAACAAAAAGCATATGTTTTTTATATCCTGAATCATGTAAGAGCTTTATTTCTAGAAGTATTTTCGAATATGAAAGAATTCCTAATTTCACACGAATAGGGTTTCTGAAAAACAAAAAGGTTAAGTTTGTCAGCTTCAAGAGATTTGTTAGAATTAGCTTGAGATCATGTTCCACACAAACCTGTTTTTTATTTATTTTTAATTGACTGTTTTAACAGCGTCGTGAGAGGTATCTTAATCCAATTATCAATAGAATTACTGTATTTTTAACATAGTTAAAAGCAGATATTTTATTTAAGACATGTTAAATACAACTTTAAATACCAAGAGGGTTTTGTTTTTCGTATGTTAGATGACTGGTAATGGCTCATATATGCAACGAGCTTCAGCGGCTGGTGATGTTGTTTGGGCACGTGGACTATTAACAAAAGGTTATGGTCTTTGTCATGGTGCAGCAGGTAATGGTTATGCATTTCTTGATCTATATCGTGTAACACATGATCCAAAATGGCTTCATCGAGCAATAAAAGTTAGTTTATAAATTGATATTTTGTATTAATATACCTTTTTTCCTTTGTCTATTGTTAGTTTGCTGAATTTTGTTTGGATTATGGAAAACATAATTTAGCAAGAACACCAGATCATCCATTTTCACTTTTTGAAGGTAACTATTAATACTTTTTTTTTGAAAGATAAAATTTACGATAACGGACTTTAATTTATTGTTTTTTAGGTTTGGCTGGCACGATTTATTATATGGCTGATGTACTTACTCCAACGCGTGCTCGATTTCCAGCATTTGAATAATTAACAGAAAAAATATTTAATTTAAGCTGAAAATTTTCTTTTGTAAAAGAAAAAACATTTTTCTTTCAATGTTAGTCCAGCATATTATTGATCTATTAAAATCACGCACACGCTTTTCACATTGATGAATCTCAATAAACTGATTTTTGTTTTAGATATGTCTACCCCAATGGATACGTCATCACCAACAAAAAAGAAACGTAATGAATTAACATCAACATTAGCAACAGACTATATATCAGGATTTGATCTTATATCAATCGAAGGTTATCGTCAAGATGGACGTAAACCAGATGAATTACGTCATTTTCGTGTTTCATTTAATGTTGTACCTGATGCTGATGGATCTTGTTATATGGAACATGGAAGTATTAAATTACTTGCAACAATATATGGACCATATGAAGGAGAATCTCGTTCAAATCAAGAACAAGCTGTAATTACATGTGATTTTAGTATGACATCATATTGTGTTAGTGAACGTCGATTACGAACATTTGGTGATATGAAAAGTCAAAAATTACAAATGGCTATACAAAGAGTTTTTCAACAAGCTGTTATTACTGAAACATATCCAAAATCACAAATTGATATTTATTTAAAAATTTTACAATCAGATGGGAATGATTATAGTCCATGTGTTAATGCAACAACATTAGCACTTATTAATGCAGGTTAAAAAAAAAACAATTATTGAAATAAAGTGTTTTTTTTTACTCTTTGCAAACATATTTTTTTTAGCAAAAGAAGAATTTTCATAAGACAGTTTTATATATGATAATAATTTCTATACATAAATTTTCTCTAAAAATTGATAGAGCTGTCAAATTTTATTGCTCACTCATTAGGGTATCCGTTTTTTGTTGAATAGAGGAAATTCGTATATTCATTTCTTTGAATACTGTAAAGACACTCTTTTAATGGCGATAAAAATAGAATTACTAAACACTTCGTGTTATATCTCAGTGTCATCAGCAACAAGCAAACGTATACTTTAACAAAGTTAATCAACTTTTAGGATTAGAAAAACACCAAATGAAACCTGAATCATTTGCCTTTATTTGTGAAATTTGAGATGATCTCTTTTGTTTTGTTGTCGTTTATGGAAGAAATTGAATCCTATACTTTCTTCATATAAAATAAAAGCTTGAAAACCTTATTGTAACTATGAATGTATCTTCCGAATGTCAAAATATTATGAAAGTGGATAGTCTCTATAAGGAAAACAAATCTGTCAACATATATTTTCACCATTATCTAATATTGAAGTCAAAGATTTTTTTTTCGTATCTTTACATGTTCTCATTTCATCTTTGAGTAACCAATTGCATGATTTATCTGTATAGAAAATTAGACTGTTTCAATCAACTTGTGTTACTTAGTCTCTCGTGATTTTTTCCATATAAACATATATTGATAAGATTGATTTGTTCCATAGTAGTTATTCGTCTATATCATTTATTTCCCATGAGATATGAGAAATTTATGCTAACTTCATATATTAATAATTGATTATTTTTATTTAATAGGCATTCCAATGAAAGATTTTGTTTGTTCATCAACAGTTGGTTATATACAAAATAAATGTATTATTGATCTTAATCAGCAAGAAGAACAACAAAAATCACCTCAATTAACATTAACAATTATGCCACAACGTGATGATATTGTTGCATTAACATGTGAATCACGTGTTCATCATGATATTTATAATGAAATGTTAGATGCAGCAACGCGTGCTAATTTACAATTATTTAATTTAATGAAACAAGCTGTTGTTAATCAATTGAAAACTGCTTTACATGTTTTATAAATAAATACATAAAAAAAAGAAACGAAATAATATGAGTTTTGTTTCTTAGGTGGGAGTGTTTTTTTATTTTGGATTGATCAATATGTACTACTTGGATGAATGGATTGTCATATTTCCTTTGTACTTTTGATTTTCAGATATGTGATGTTATTATTCGGAAATAAGTTTTATATTATTTTTATATTATTATGGATCTTTGGACTTTTTTGTATATTAACAACATTTCATTCAACATCAAATAATGAAAAAATATTTGAAGATCGTATTGAACAATTACAAAGTGAAGTTGAGTCACTTCAAAAAAAACTTGCTCAATTACAATCTGGAAATAATAATAATGATCAAGTACAATCTGGCAGGTAAGTTAAATTTTAAAGTTCATACAAAATGTTTCGAGCTCATTGATATTGCTACAAAACGATATCGGACTTTTTTTTCTACTTTAATAAGTATCATTGAGAGTTTGATTAGTGTAAAGTTTAATAAAATTCTGATATTTTGAGACTGTCAACAGAATCTAGTATGAATTTAGGATTACTATGAACCTTGAAAAGTTATATTAATCATATTTTAGTAATAATATTCAATGCCAAGAATTGAAAAATGAACTGAAACGTGTTAAACGTCAATTACTTTCGAAAAACGGTGGTAATTCTTCTTTTCGTGGTAAGCTCATTATTTGAATTTCCATATTATATGTTTATTCGCACTATTGTCAGTATACCGTGCTCCTTCTAAGAGCCGACGGCGGTGTACCGGCAATAGTTTGCCAGTCAGAAAACAACTATCGGTATATTGTAATAGAATAACAGTCAAAAGGTAGTCGATCGGTACAACCCATACATTATATACTGAACAATTTACCGATGGTTTTGTTTTTTGTTCGGCTTGAATTACGTCTGTTATAAACTTATTTTACAACATTTAGATGGGCCTAGTTTGGGATATGAACTACTACGACGAAAAATTGAAAGGCAAGCACGTGAATTATCTTATTTTACAACTAATCAATTAAATAAAATATCCGAAAAATTATCTGATGATGATAAACAAAAATGGGAAAATGTTATTTTACGATTTGCTGATCAAAGTAGGTATGTTTCTATAAAAACAAAAAAAAAAAAACATATTAATTTAATACATTTAATTAATCTAATTATTTTATTTTTAGAGTACTTCTAGCTTCAATTCGAAATTTAACTCAAGTTGATGGTTATCAATTATGGCGTGAACAAGAACATGAAAGTCTTTCAAAATTAATGCAAACACGTTTAAATATACTACAAAATCCAACAAAACCATGTCAAGATGTTAAACGTGTTACATGTAATATAAATAAAGGTTGTGGTTATGGTTGTGAAATTCATCATGCTATGCATTGTTTTCATATTGCTTATGCGCTTGGTCGACCAATGATTCTTTTCTCTGGTATGTCAGACAATTTATAAATTAAGAAACAAAATTTGATGAATTCATTTTTCAGATGGATGGCGATATAATCCTAGCGGATTTGATCAAATATTTCAACCATTAAGTCAAAATTGTACAAAATCATCTGTTACTAGTGCATCATCTTGGAGTAAGATTGAATTGTTTTATATAATTACAAAATTAGAAAAGTAAAATGTGTTCGATATTTTCTGGAGCAAGTAGAAACATACGAAAAATTTTCTCGATTCATAAAAATGTAGACAAACTTTCTCGACAAATAATTCAATTCCACTTAGGTCTTTTGAATTCTACGAACAGATTGTTCGTTCTTGTATAAAATATCTAAAGAATAATTATTATTTTTTTTTTCTTTTTTAGGTAATTATGAAAAAGCTGATATAGTTGAAGTTCCATTGATTGATAATATATATCCGAGAAAAGATTTTATGCCAATGGCTGTTCCTGAAGATATATCTGAAAGACTTATTCGTTTACATGGAAATCCATTTGTATGGTTTACTGGACAATTAATGAAATATTTATTAAGACCACAAGAATGGTTAAGTGAATTTTTAGAGAAAAAATATCAAAATATTAAATTTCAAACACCAATTGTTGGGTAAAAGAAATTTAATTAGAATTTTTGTTTTGATTAATTTTTTTCAAATTTATTTTAATTAAAGAATTCATGTACGACGAACAGATAAAGTTGGAAGTGAAGCATCATTTCATGATATTTCAGAATATATGAAATATGTTGAAGATTATTATATAATTTATCAATATCAAAATCCAAATGTAAAATTTACAAAACGTGTTTTTCTAGCAACTGATGAACCAACTGTATTTAACGAAGCTCGATTGAAGTATATATTGTTCTATTCAAAAAAAAATTAATTTTTTGTTTTACAATTTATTAATAGATATTCAGATTATATATTTTATGGTGATACAGCTATAGCACAATCTGCTCAATTGAATACAAGATATGGAACAGAATCATTGAAAGGTGTTTTACTGGATGTTCATTTTCTTTCTTTATGTGATTATTTGGTTTGCACATTTTCTTCACAGGTATAAAAATTTCTATATAACTTTAAGTGAACTTTGAAAATGAAATGATTGTCGAACAATAAATAGAGAGGAAAAAAAAGAAGTTCGAGAGTATATGTGATGATCGTAGTATGTAGTGGAAACATTTATTTAAACAACTATCTATCTATGATAAAAATGATAGATATGAGAAAATAATCTAAACGATCTATTGAAATATTTTATGTTTTAAAATCTAGATTTGTCGTGTGGCATATGAAATAATGCAACAACGTGTAGGTGACGGTGCATGGCGTGTTCAACCACTTGATGATGTTTATTATTTTGGTGGTCAAAATGCTCATAATCAACGAGCTGTAATATCTCATAAAGCAATATGGCCAAATGAATTTAGTTTTGAACGAGGTGATATTATTGGTACAGAAGGAAATCATTGGGATGGATTTTCAAAGGGATCAGATAAAACAAATGGTCAATCAGGTCTTTATCCAACATATAAAACAGAAGAAATTGTTAATACTGCAAAAATGTATACCTATCCTGAAGTACGAGTTAATATTAACGAATTTTAACCTTTTTTATACAGAAAAAAAAAAAAAAAACATTCCTTTAATTGAGATTATTTTTATAATGTGTGCCTGTAGGTACACATAAATCGAAACTTGTACTCTGATTACCAGTCAATTTTGGTCTTGGTTTCTTTTTTGTCCTTTAGTCAATTACTCGTTTTATTTTCTGGATGTGTTTTTTTTTTTTTTGTTATTATGTGAAGTTTTTCGTTTTACACCGTTACTAATTATTATAATGTGTTCAACTGATAAAAATAAAAATGGACAACTATAGAATGAATCGTGACCTGTATGTTTGTTTTTGTTATCTGTTTAATGTATGTTACTGATATGTGCTTACTTATATTTTGTTAATACTCAAACTAACATAATGAATGGTTACTTCTCAGAATTCAAATATGAGTTTTATGTATTATATTCATCAATAAATTTCAAGATCATCTGTTTGAAAGGTTTCGCTACTAGTAAACACCGTGCTATCTCGTTTTGTTGTGTTAGTATAGGAATGAAGAAAGAAAAAAAAATAACTATCTGTACTTATTTAATTATTATCATAACCAAGGTTAATTGCTGAATCATAAACATTTCTATTGCTGGAAAAAGTTTCTATCGATCTTCAAGAAACAGATATATATATATATATCAGATAGGTTAATGTCATGGTAGAATCTTAATTCTCACAATATCGATAAAATTCAATACTGACGACTCTATATATCCGATTGTCTGATAAATCTACATTAACCGCTACCCATCTTTTTTATAGTATTCATTCAATTTTATCTGTTGTTCAAATGATAACAATGTATTACTACTAGAAAAAGATATCTCAATGATGAATATTGTCTCTTTTTCGATTGTTTTCTAAGTTTGCCAATTTTTCTTGATATATTCACTTTATTTAAATAAAGCATTACTTGTGTCAATTTATTTTTTCACTTAGTGACTTAGCTGTCGAAGTTGATTTTCGTTTTATATTCTCTTTAACTTCCAGCTTTTTTATCTACCGTTCTTCTCTCATCATACAGTTTATTATCTTGTCATCTTTGTTAGTCAATATTCGATGAGTACTTTGTTCGTTTTTTATTTACATCTTACATAAGATATTCTACGAAAATAACGTGAAATCTGTCTTGATTCTTCTTATTCATCTCAAAATAGACTTCTTTGAATGTGTAAGAAAAAATTTCGTTGACACTCTATATCTGATTGTGAAAACTCTCTATTAGTCATTTTAGATTTTGACAAGAACGATTAACTGTAAAAGAAGAACAAAGATAGCAACAGTTTTATCTCAGCTTCATCAGACATTAACCATAAAGTTACGGAATTTTCCAATCCAAGATGAATACATTAGTTGAATTTTTATTCTTTCAGTTTACTCAATCGATTGTCAAAGAGTAAAGAAAATCTAATGTCAACAAGTTTTGATTTAGCAAGTTTGAAGCGTTTTTGTAATGTATGTCATCATAAACAACTATATACAACGAAAAATACGGATAATCGTAAATCTTGTCACGTGAAATAATAAGTACTACGATGAATTTTTTCATACAGCTACTAGAAATGTATATTTGAAAATATAATGTATTGATATTTATTATTATAGAACTTGATGAGACTGTTAGCTATTGTGTACAACTATATTACAATTTTGAAAAGAGACTAATGTCCGCGCCAGAATAAAAGAGGGGTGAGTGTAAGCTCAATAACTCGACAACCGCAATACCTAGCTACCTGCGGTTTTCACCAATCGAAAGAGGAGGAGCGGGCACGTCTTTTTCTTCGATAATGTATAAGACGAAATTCTTTTAAAACTAAT